TCCCAACAAGTGCCCTCCTTAATGCCCATCACCCATTTAGCCCATCCCCCCACCCACCTCCCCTCCAGCAACCCTGTTTATTCTCTGTATTTAAGAGTCTCTTGCGGTTTCCCTCCCTCTCTGTTTTTATCTTATTTTTCCTTCCCTTCTCCTATGTTCATCCGTTGTGTTTCTTAAATTCCACATATGAGTGAAATCATATGATATTTGTCTTTCTCTGACTTCTTTCCCTTAGCATAATGCATTCTAGTTCCATCCACATTGTGGCAAATGGCAAGATTTCATTCTTTTTGATTACCAAGTAATATTCCATTATATATAAATCCCACATCTTCTTTATCCATTCAAAAGTCAATGGCTCTTTCCATACTGTGGCTATTGTCAACAGTGCTGCTACAAACATTGGGGTGCATGTGCCCCTACAAATCAGCAATTTTTTATCCCTTGGATAAATACCTAATAGTGTAATTGCTGGGTCGTAGGGTAGCTCTATTTTTAGTTTTTTGAGGAAACTTCATCCTATTTTCCAGAGTGGCTATACCAGTTTCCATTCCTATCAACAATGCAAAGTGTTTCCCTTTCTCCACATCCTTGCCAACATCTGTTGTTTCTTGAGTTGTTCATTTTAGCCATTCTGACAGGGGTGTGAGGTGGTATCTCATTGTGGTTTTGATTTGCATTTCCCTAATGATGAGTGATGTTGAGCATCTTTTCATGTGTCTGTTAGCCATCTGGATGTCTTCTTTGGTAAAGTGTCTGTTCATGTCTTCTGCCCATTTCTTCACTGGATTCCTTGTTTTTGGGATGTTGAGTTTGATAAATTCTTTATAGATTTTAGATACTAATCCTTTATCTGATAGGTATTTGCAAATATCTTCTCTTCCAACTAGGACTTTGTACTGGTTGTTTATAATAATATTTTGCAAGAGGATTTACACGTCCACGATATGTGTTCATTATATGTAGGAAACATGTGACTATTTCCTTACAGATTGAAAAATGTAAAGTGATGGCCTCCAAGAAAAAGCCCCTATGGCTTGAGTTTAAATGTGCTGACCCTACAGCCCTATCGAATGAAACGATTGGCATTATCTTTAAACATGGTGATGATCTGCGCCAAGACATGCTGATTTTACAGGTATGCTACCATTAAGGGATTTTTTTTGTTCAATTACCTGAAAAAAGAATTCTGTATTTGATCTAAAAAATGCCTGCTACTGATTTTATTCCCATTCTCCTATTTTGTCCATGTACAATGATCGAAGATTTTGTAACAGAGAGTTGGCACTGGGGGAACATGGCTGTGGGCCATTAGATATGTGATCTAGTGAGCATCCCAATGTTGTCTATTCCTGAGAAGAAGCATATCCAACTTTCCCATATAGCCAAATATGTCTCCCTCACCTAACCTCTTTTATACATCCCATTCCTAGTGTAGTAACATAAAATATAGACGTATGTACCCCCCTGGCATCCACTTTATTCATATTTATAGACATATCTGTGCACCCACAAGTGCTCTCCTTATATACTTCACTTTGATCTACATCCACATCCACAAACTCAAGGGAATGATTTGATAGGAAGGAGACAGAAGAATGACACATAAGTGACTGAAGAAATCGTGCAGTTAAGTAACAAGCATGAATAAGTTACTAGACCAGAAGGTGGACAGTAATCAATGTTAATCATTTTGCATATTTTCTAACATTTCTGGATCAACTTTAGCTTTGCAAACCTGGAAAGTAATCTTCTCCATAGTCCACCATTGTAGAAGTAACACAATTCCTAATACTTAATGTGGTTTATTTAAAATAAGCAAACCTCATTGATTTAAATGTAGCCTATTAAAAAATTGGTCATGTTTTCAATTCTCTCTGTGTGTTTCTGCTTGTACTTGTTTCTAATATGGAAACAATAATACCTCTTGCTCTCTTTTCAAGAATACTATGTGTATTGTCCCGGAAGTATTAAAAGAAAGAAAGAAAAAGAAATCCTTCAAACCTTTTGAAGGTTTGCTGCCTTTCAAATAAATCCATAGAATCTTCTTATTCTTGGCAGACAAACTCTTCAGAAACAAAGCATCACTGTGTTCCTCTCCTTTTGAGGGGAACTTTGCACTTGCCCTTTATGTACTTGTTTCCCTGCTGAGGCACACTGCTTGGCAGGTGAGGGCAAGTTAGGTGAGGTCTTGAAGCCTTAGTCTCTTCATGTGCAGAATGGGAATATTAATCATATTCATATTATAGGGTAAATGCAAAAGATTAACACAAAACAGCACTTGGTAAATTAGCAAGCATTCTCATCAGTGCTAGTGTTGCCTTGGTTTAGCCCCAGAGTGCCTTATGGATAAAAATTTCTAAGAATGGTAGGGGAGAACACTTTGTTGTGATGGTAAAATATACATAAGTGGAGTGGAACATTTGAATGCTGAAACACCACTGCAACATCTCCCCACACGAACTCCACGTATCCTCTTCCCCAGGGTCCATCTCAGGGACCAAAATTAACAGGCTCCCAGGGAAGGGGAACTTTAGAGCACCAGGTTGATAAATATAGTTGTGACTTACAGATTTTATGCTGACATATATTTTGTGTTACCAGACACAAAATACATGTTGTTTTTTTAAGGGAGAAGAAAAATTATTAAACCAATGTAATGGAAACGTTTTTGTGTTTGATGTCTAGATTCTACGAATCATGGAATCCATTTGGGAGACTGAATCTCTGGATCTGTGCCTCCTGCCATATGGTTGCATTTCAACTGGTGACAAAATAGGTATGTGATTACCTCAGGAGATGAATATACCACTCAGCTCGTTCTAAAAGATCGTAAGTCCTTTTTTTAAAAATGTCTAGTTATTTTTGAGAGAGACAGAAACAGAGAGAGACAGAGAATAAGCGGGGGTGGGGTGGGGTGGGGTGGGTAGAGAGAATGGGAGACACAGAATCCAAAGCAGGCTTCAGGCTCTGAGCTGTCAGCACAGAGCCCAACGCAGGGCTCAAACCCACAAACCGCAAGATCATGACCTGAGCTGAAGTTGGATGCTCAACTGACTGAGCCACCCAGGCACCCCCCTAAGCTGAGCATCTGACTTTTGATTTCAGCCAGGTCATGATCCCAGGGTCAGGGATCGAGCCCCACATGGGGGCTCTGAGCTGAGTGTGGAGCCTGCTTAAGATTCTCTCCCTCTCTCTCTCTCTTTCTCTCTCTTCCCCCCCGTCCCTACCCCGCTTGTGCACACATACTCTCCCTCTCTCTCAAATAAAAAAATATTGAAAAATAAAATAAGGGATCATAAGTCCTTTAGCGTAGGCATTTAATAAGTGAAAAATTACAATCATAATCCAAATAGAAAAGGAAGAAAATGTTCCAAGGTTGGTGAATGTGACTCTTGATTTAATATGGATCTGTTGAAAATACATGAATGTGTGATTTAAATCCCTGTGACTATACATGGAAATGATTTTCATAAGAACTTGTTCCCTCCTCTTTACTTCTCCACCTCTAAACTGTAACTCGTTTCACTGCACATAAAACCTCTCTCTCACAAATAACGTTTAAAAATAGACGCAAAGATCTGTCACTTATTTTAATATCTTAGAATTCACATTATTGAAACTATTACATACTCTACTCTTAGGTGCTTTTACAGACATTTAACATTTTTGTTTCAAGCAGACATATTTTTATTCAAGTTTCCAATCCGAGAACTGTACAAAACCACTTCCATTTGACCCTGTGATTAAAAAAGGAAAAGGCACCGTTTGCCAAGCACATATGCTCAGCACATAAGTGCTTTTACTTATTGCCTTTGAAAGCCAACCTTTCCTCTTTTCATTCAGGGACTGAAAGCATGTCCCACAAAACTTCTGCATCCTCCTCCTTTTCTTTCTCTCTCTCCTAAGAAAACCAAACCAGGGAAACAGCCGCCTGGTTGAAAAGCCCTCTGCCCTCCTGTCAACAGAGACCCAGCCATTCCTCCTCTGGGTCAGGCCCCAGGCCCCAGTGTCCATCAGCCTCTGTGCATCTTCTCATAGGAATGATCGAGATCGTGAAAGAGGCCACGACAATTGCCAAAATTCAGCAAAGCACCGTGGGCAACACGGGCGCGTTTAAAGATGAAGTCCTGAATCACTGGCTCAAAGAGAAATGCCCTATTGAAGAAAAGGTGAGCTCCAGCTTTTCCCGCACTCTGAAGGCTCCTTATGAGCTGTCATTCATGTAGCAATAATGGGTTTGCATTTTCAAAGGATCTACCGATGTCGTGCCTCCTGAGGTTTGGCAAAATACTTGTGAGGCCGTGGGGGTTTTAAGTGCCTTCCCGTGTGACACAGCATATCTGTGTAAGACGGAAGCTCTCAGTTCAGAATGCCAGTGAGCATTTGTTTGTCCTTTGACTATCAGGCATGCTTTGCATAAAATTTGGTTCTATGAAATAACTTGGTGGGCATTTTTTACAACCACCTCCTTTTGATGTTCGGCAGAAAAATCTAGTTACCGTGGATAGGTCCTTTCCTACCTGGGAGATGCCACATATCCTCCAAAGTAATTTCTGATGTACCTCTGCACTCTGAATGGTAAATTAGAGAGCCTGAAAACATCAGTTTCACCATCCGTGCGAAGTACACATGCTGAATCCTTCACAAGCTGCGTGGTTAGGCTGGCTGTTTGGCTGCTGTTTCAAGTTCTGCGGTACAGGATTACCACTTCTCATTTGCATGGTTAGCAGCCCTTTGGGTAGGAAATATAATTAGCAGCATTTATTAGTCTGTTATATGTGTGGATTTGTGAACCCATGCATACGTGAAGTGGTCATAAGCAAAACATATGTTCTCCACTGAAGGAGAAATTATTATAGGTTCTGTAGCATTGGCAAACGATGGCATGGAGAGGAAATGAACCCTTTGATTAAATTACCATTGCTCTTTGACTCTCGTTTCCTCCATGTGCTATTGTGAGTCACTGAATCTTCGCCTAGAATGTAAGGAGAGCAAGGAGAAAGTTGGCATGTAGCAGATAGGATGTTAATGAAATCAGGTGCCATGAACTTGAAACTGGTTCCCAGAATAGTACCTTTTTGGAAGTCGTTTATAACAGATCCACACTGCTCTTTGTAGCTAGAACACAACTAATGTTCAGATGTGTCTAATTAGTTTCAGGCAGCAGTGGAGAGATTTGTTTATTCCTGTGCTGGCTACTGTGTGGCTACCTTTGTTCTTGGAATAGGCGACAGGCACAACGACAATATTATGATCACAGAGACAGGTGAGTTTATTTATTATAATTTGTTTTTACAGTGGTAAAACATACAGGACATAAAATTTACCAACCATATCAACCAGTTTTAAGTGTGTAGTTAAGTAGCATTAAACACATTCACCCTGTGAGGCCCCGGGGTGGCTCAGTCTGTTAAGTGACAGGTGTCGGCTCATGATCTCACAGTTGTGTGGATTCAAGCCCCACATTGGGCTCTCAGCCTGGAGCCTGCTTTGAATCCTCTGTCTCCCTCTCTCTGCCCTTTCCCCACTCATGCATGTGTGTGTGTGTGTGTTCTCTCTCTCTTTCAAAAATAAACATTAAAAAATTTTTTAATACATTCACATTACTGTGCAACCATCACCATCATCCCCCAGAACTTTCTCATCTTCCCCAACTTAAACACTGGCCCCACTGAACTGGTACTAACTCCCCATTTCCCCTATCCCTCAGCAGAGAGTAATATTTAAGGAGTTTAAGGTTGGAGTACACATCTAGAAGTCATTACTATGTAGGAATATAGATGTTGCGATCACCCCAGAGAGGAAGAAGATACCAGAAATGAGACCTAAGAAGGAAAAGCGATTAGCTAGAAAGATAAGTAGGGGCATATCCCAGAAGCTGGTGAAGGAGGGTGTGATCGATAGTGTCAGATGTTACACGGAAGCAACAAAAAGAACTCCCAGACATCCTTAAATCTGAGATGCTCTGCCTTCCTAACCTACCTCGTGTCACGAGTTCACTGACCACTCTGACCATGGTCAGTATCGGCTGCCGTGCCATGAAAAGTATCTCTAAGAAATTTGGACCAGTTTAAAAGTAGGATCCAGAAAAAGCACCATATTGAGGTAAACTGCTTACTCTCTGTGAGAATCAAAAGACATCACGTATTTATGGACCATACGTATGATACAGGCTATCTAAACAAGAAGAGATGATGGTAATCATGGTAGCAACAGCGACAGTGGTAGAAACTGACTCAAAGGAGATTCACAGTGATGTATTTCTATGGTGCTACTCAAAAGGAAAAGGTGAATGCCTTCCCCCCCCCCCCCCCCCCCCCCCCCCC